AAATTCAAGGCACTGAACCCAACTTTGAAAATATTGGAAATCTGAACCAAGACCTAGATTGAACTTCACCAAATCCTCTAGGACAAGCCAGAGCAAAAACCTGGCCCTGGGCACTTGTGACTTTTGATGTGCTTAAAATCCATACTGAGTGCATGTGGATCTTGGGAATGTAAACCATGTGGGTTTAAAAAAAGGGGAATTCATCCCTAATGCAGAAAGAGAGAGAGAGAGAGAGATATGTTAGAGAGAGAGGTGGTCTCTCCATTGTGGGTGACATCATTCCTTGGGCAGAGGGCCCTCAGTGCCACAGGGGCCACTAATATTACATTAAGACTTTACACAGAATACAAAAGGGATCTACAGTTAGAACAACAATGGCTTTTCTGACATGCTTTTTGGTAAGCTTCCTATTATACTAATTTATGGTGCTGTCCCTTTTTAGGTGCACTCACTTAGGTATATGAATTTATACAAAAGATGGTTCTGAGCTACATCAGAATCAGGACAGAATTTTCAGGGTTATAAATTGGGTTTTAAATTAGGGACTCAGTTGCCATGCTGGTTGCAGCTGAGTTTGGTTATTTCTTTTTTTACCCATTATATTCCTTTAAGGAAGCAGAGTAGAGTTATCTACACTCAGATTAGCTGCACAGTGGGATTTGCATTTGGATTTAAGAAAGCATCAGGCTATAGGGCAAAGGAGCTAAAATCTGCCAGGAGGTTCTTACAAGATTTTTGTCTCCAAATAGAAGCAATCTCGTGGCTGACTCTTCTGCTTTTTTTCAAGCATGCTGAAACCAGAATCTGAATCTTGGTGGGGTGAAGGATCTGACCCAGTGCCAAAACCAGAGGCATATATTTGGATCTGAGGATTTACGTCTGACTTGTCTGAGGCCGGAAAGTCTTCAATTTTCAGGATGAAACGCTCTCTTTGCCTTATCTCACTGTGCTTGGGTATTGAACAGCTGTGTCATATCGCATCTCACAGTTGCAAGAGGGAGTTCAGTCACCTTTGTGTTACTGCATCGTAGCTTTGAGGGTGACGTGAGGCCAAGTCCTAGTGTTTGGCACAAGCTCAAGGGCTTTTAAGACTGCACATTATCAGAGCAGCAAAAAGGAGCCTGAACTGGGTTAGTCATTTAATTTCCAATTTGCTGCAAAACTGAACAGGAAAGCCACAGGTGGTGTAAAATACACTGACCTGTCAGCAGAACAGGAGGAAGCAACTATAAAAGAGCTTGATAAAAAACACTAGAAAATACAAGTGAAACAATTGGCTTCTTTTCTCTTGCCAATGTATCCATTAAAGCCACAGATCCCTGCAAACAGCCAAATCTTCTAGCTCGGGTGTTGGTAACCTATGGCTTGCAGGCTGAATCTGGACCACAGAACCACTGGATCCAGCTCATGGACGTGGGGACTTCAGCACCATTCAGTAGCCAGGCACTTTGGCTGTGGGTGTTCTCTCTGGGCCACCGAAGAGACAAGCCATGGTAGCTCCCAGATACCTCTGACCTAGGGTGGGTAATTCTGTTCTGCAGCTAGAAGAGCTTGCCTGCCCTTCTAGGTTGGGAAGAGGGACAGTATGGAGGCCTCCCCCATGCACCCACCACAACAGGGTTCTGTTAAGCAGGAAGGATTGCATCAGGGATCCATCATCATGGAAGGCACTGACCATACCTGCATGGACAGGAAGCATGGACACTGCATTCTCCATCTGCTTCTCCTAGCACTAGGGCTTGATGGCTTGATTTAATATTGGTGCTTATGTAGAGGAAAAGAGGCTCTCTATACCATTCCTCTCCATTGACCTTGCAAACAAGTGCTTCTGTGAGCACGGCTTAACTCAAAATATGTAAGTGGATTTGTTCAGCAAAATCTACCTCACAGGCCATGACTCATACACTGTCTGGGCAGCTCCAGCTCAGTGCCAATATTAATTCCAGGGGGCTCCATCAACTCCAGTGGGTCATCATACCCTGTTCAGTGAAGCATTTAGCAAGGGTTATGTATTTTACTAATGAAGCGTATCAGAAAAAGAGGATTTCAGCAACATTTTAAAAAGCACTTCAATTGATTTAAGAACCTAAGTTCTATTGACTGTCCACGGGACCTAAAGGCCAGATATGTAAAGGTATTTAGGGACCTGAAGATAAAGCTAGGTCCATGGTGGGATTTTCAAAAACAAGGCATTGGAAGCAAGCTCTGACCTCTCCCCTGGGTGAAGAAGCTGTTCCCCTAAGTCTTGCACGGAGTAGAGGAAGCCGATGTGAAGGGTTGGGGGCAAAAGCAGCAGAGCTTAAACTCTCCTGGAACACCTTACGAGGTGCTTGTGTACATGCTTTCCAAACCAAAAAAATTCCAACCATCCCTGCCTTAGATTACAACTGTGTGTAAGTAAAGTATATCATGCTGAATATCTGCTTATACTCTGTTTCTCATGGAGTGAGAATGGCACCTTAAAGAAGCAGCTTTGAAGGCTGGTTGGGGAAAGGGAAGAGGCATGATAAGTCATGATATATGCTGAGGCACCCTGGGGAAGGAGAGTTCAGCCTAAGTCACAAGCAATTCCCTTGCAGGAAGGGGGTGAGGAGAGAGGGCAATCTACCCTGGAATGCTGGAGGGTCCAACCAAAGACTAACACCCTGTGTGTGACATCCTATACATTCAAATTAAAGCTTGATACAAAGCAGCCACAAAAAGGTTCTACATTTTTTTGAGCAACATCTTTGTGGCTGGCTGACAACTTTTTTGCCTGGCTGGCCAATTTTAAGTTGCAATGATTACTTGGCCTGTAAATAAATACTTTGCAGGCTTAATAATTGTTTTCCAACTATTTAAGTTGGTCTATTAAAAGATATCAGATTCACCCAAAGAACCTTGTCTTGCAGGACTGACACACAAAGAAACCACGATCAGAAGGAGGCGGTTGTTATGGCTTGGCCACGACAGGAGAATGGGAGGAGACTGTATCCTCATGAATATTTTGTACAGCAAGATTTGAAATGGCTCTAGAAAGCAGGGTTGCCCTTTATGGCAGTACCACAATGTATACAAAAATTATATGAAGTCATTCAGCATCAATGTAGAAAGCTGAGAGGAGCATGTAGAATCCTGTACGATCTAGAGAGAACTTCTGGCACTGGGTGCAGCATAATACAAAGCTGCTTTGATCCAGAGGATGGAAGCAAAGTGAGAAAGAAGAAAGCAATGTGCTGTAAACTTGGACTCCAACTCAGGCAACATATGGTTCTATGAAACTTGTAGCAAGCTGTGTTGCTCTCAAATTGGGTGTGTCAGCCACAAATGGATTCATCAAGCACTTGACTAGACTTGTTACATGTACACCATGATCCAGAGGATCAACAGTTCCTTACTAGATACCCAATTTTTTTTGGCAATTAACTAGTTATTGCACAATAAATGTAGCATGTCAGGGCCTAAGTCACATAGGTCCTTTATGAAAACATTGCCCTAAGCAATTTTTCTTAGCAGCTTGCTCCTTGAGGCTTGAGTCATTCACTGATGTCTCCACAGCACAATTCATCATCATGGAAGTAGCTGCTAAAGGCATAGTTTTCAACAACTTACTTGTATAGCTTGTATGCAAAGACCTTTACACTGATCTGAAAGGATGGAGAGGGCAGAGGCCATGTCATTTGCTAGTATCTGCCTGTCTATTAAAGCATTTCCTGCTTCCTTGTTCCTGTTTCACTGTGGAATTTCCCAGCTACAGTGCAAAGCAATTTGAAGCTATTGAAGGACCAAGTTCTACACAAAAATGCAGGCAAAATATGAAGGGTGGATAAGAAATATGAAAGCACTAGCTTTGGGTGACTTTTATTGTTATTATTGTATTAATCAAAAAGCTTCAAGAAACTATGAACAGAACATTTTATGGGGGGTTTTTTAGCAGAAAGAAAAATAACTTGAAAAAAAATAAACCAAAGTAAGAACAAACAAAGCAAAACAAAAACAATAAACTAAACAAACTATTTATGTGTTTCACCTTTAAGGACATAAGAGTCTAATCAAACTCCATTTTTTATGTACACAGAAATTCGATGATATCTGTTCTCTATTATATAAATGCTTAACTCATGGCAAGCCTCAAAAAGAAGACTTGAGAAAGTCTGTGAGAAATAAAATAGATCACAGTTGCCTGCTGGATAACACATCATATATATCTCACCAGAAAGAAAAGCCATCAAACCATCAAAATGTATCTGGGTTGAAAAGGAGAAGTTGAGTCAGTTTCAAAAGGCTACAGTCCAGTTGACTCTTCAGTGGATACATTTTGAAGCATCACTGCAGATAACATGGCAGGGCTTAATACTAATTTTGCATTCACTATGCTTTAGTGCTCCCCAAGTTTTCTGGACACACAGGGAACAAAATTAGTATAAATATTTTACCATGTTAACTGCATTCAAATCCCATGGACAAATGTACTCTTGCGGCACATCCTCAGAACAATTAATGAGGATTAAACAATATTGACAATTCATTATTGCTCCACTTTAGCTGCTTCTTCTCTCTCTCTCTCTTGCTCTCTCTCTCGCTCTCTCTCAAGCATTCCCCTATCTCCTTTCTAAACCTTTAATGTCTGCTTTGGATAACAGCAATTTTTCCTCCCCAAATGAGCCAGCACAATAACTGCTACAAATCTGTAGCACAACTGTTAACTCTTAATTAATCATGGGCTGGTTCCAGGATGTTTGGCCTCCCGTGAAGCCAGCTTTACATTAACTGAGAAGTGATTACATTTCGGTTTTTTCAGTGCCAACTCCATGGGATCGGATGCTTGGCTGTATACGTCTGTATTTTATATACAGTATGTGTATATATATATATATATATATATATATATATATATACACACATACACATATTACATATACATATATAGGAATATATATGTATACATTCACACACATATATATATATGTATGTATTGTTTTTTGCAAATGAAATAAGAAAGCAAGCAAAATGAGACTGACCTGTCTTACCTGTGCTTGGTTCACATTCAATGAAGTCCTCATCATCGCTGGAACATTCAGCTGATGAAACAATGTCATCTGTTGTCTGGCACATGAAAGGAAGAAGCAAAGAAGAGGGAAAAAAAGGGGGGGGGAAAGTATTAAGATGACTGGTATTGCAGAGGCTGGAACAGAGGCAGCTTACCCCTTCAGACATGTTTTAAGTTTCATATTTTAAAATGCTTATCGGCTGCCCAACATTCCAGGTATATCTATGCAAATGCACCTCCATAGTGCTGGAATCTATTATATCATGTACAATCCTTGTGCTGTGCTGCTGAATATTTCAGGTAGGTATAGGCACAATATT